GAACCTAGGAGGGAAGCAGTGAGGAAGATGGGGGTCGGAGGGAGGGGCTAGCACCCCCCTCCAAGATGATGACCTGAGTTCAATGCCCAGAACCCATAGGTGGAAGGAGAGAGCTCCCTGCGGAGATTGTCCTCTAATTTCCGTATGTGCACTAGGGCACATGTGCGCCAACAACACACAGAAACAAGAAAATAAACAATTGTTTAAAAAAAAAAAAAAGCCAGGGGCTGGAGAGATGGCTCAGCGGTTAAGAGCACTGACTGCTCTTCCCGAGGACCCGAGTTCAAATCCCAGTGCCCACATGGCAGCTCACAACTGTCTGAAAATCCAGTTCCAGGGGATCTGACACCTTCACACCAATGCAAAGAAAATAAAGCTAAATAAACCATAAAAAAAAAAAAAGCCAAAAGTTAACATTTGAGAGCAGGGGCTCATGCCTGTAATTCCAACATGCCTATAGCAAGAGGGGAAGTGGAGACAGAAGAAATGCCCAGAACACTGCAGGCCGGTCAGCCTAGAATACAGCAAGGCTGTGGAAACAAGAAACATTTTACCAGCCGGGTGGTGGTGGCGGCAGCGGCGGCGGCGTGCAACTTTAATCCCAGCCCTTGGGAGGCAGAGGCAGGCAGATTTCTGAGGCCAGCCTGGTTCTACAGAGTGAGTTCCAGGACAGCCAGAGCTGTTATATAGTGAAGCCCTGTTTCAAAAAACAAAAAAGAAAGAAGGAGGAGGAGGAGGAGGAGGAGGAGGAGGAGGAGGAGGAGGAGGAGGAGGAGGAGGAGGAGGAGGAGGAGGAACATCTTACCTCAGCAACCTGGAAGGCAAGAACTGACCCCTGAAAGCCGTCCTCTCACCTCTACATAAACAAACCAATGGGAGAACACTAGTTAACCACACGTATCTCTTGATCACTATCTGTCTAACTGGCAGGTCTTCTCAGTCCCCCTCCAGTGACCAACATAACCTGCTCAAGAGCTTGGTTGGCCCCAGTTAACAAGGGATTAATAAAGGAAGGGACGGTGGATGCAGGCAGGTCTCAGCCGCCACAGCTTTCGCGGTGGCACTGGAGCCCTGGCCCTACTGTGGTACTCTATGCCCTGGGCACAGGCCTAGAGTGCCGAGGCAGCAGATAAAAGCTGTCTGCTTTATGGTAACGTCCTTTACTCTGCAGACCTCTGAAACCCCAGGCTGCTCCTGAAACACCAGGCTGCTCCCGAAACCCCAGACTGCTCCTGAAACCCCAGGCTGCTCCTGAAACCCCAGGCTGCTCCTGAAACCTCAGGCTGCTCCGAAAACCCCAGGCTGCTCCGGAAACCCCAGGCTGCTCCCGAAACACCAGGCTGCTCCCGAAACCCACTGGAACCACGTCTTTCATGCGCTTCACTCCTTAACAAAAGAGGACCCTGGACACGGCATTGCTGGACCAGGATCTTTATACAGTGGATGCAGAAAACTCGCTTGGCGACAGCTGAGTGAACAATGAATGAATGAATCCTGCAGTCAGCCTCCGCGGCCATCAGACTGGCGCATTATACCCTGAACTCAACATTTACCAGTTACCTGCCACGCTCCAGGCACTGTTCGCGGTAGTCGGGGATAGAAGTAAAAGAAAAAAACAAACCAAGATTTGGCAGGTCGCTGCTGCTGAAGAACTCATAATCAGATCGTACATCATATATGTGTTTATATTAAGCAGAAATATCCATCACAAAGAAAAGCTCAAGCTAAGAAAGCAGGCGCAGGGGTTAAAAACATTGTACTAAATAGGGTGGTCAGGGGCAGTCTGGCCAAAAAAGTCAGATGAGGGCTGCTGGACAGCTCAGGAGGTAAGTTCTCACTATGCAAGCAGAGACCTGAGTTCTAATTCCCAGCAGCTGGGCAGAGGTGGTGGTGGCACATGCCTTTAATCCCAGCACTCAGGAGGCAGCCAGGCATGGTGGCGCATGCCTTTAGCCCCAGCACTAGGGATTCAGGGGAGGATGGATCTCTGTAAACTTGAAGCCAGCCTGTCTACATAGGCAGTTCTAGTCCAGTCATCGAGATCTTGTTTCAAAAACAGGTAAACAAGCTGGGTAGCAGTGGCACACGCCTTTAATCCTCCCAGCACTTGGGAGTCAGAGGCAGGTGGATCTCTGTGAGTTCCAGGCTAGCCTGGTCAATAGAGTGAGTTCTAGGACAGCCAAGGCTGTTACACAGAGAAACCCTGTTTCAAAACAACAATAAAACCCAAGTAAAAGACAGAACATTGCTAGTGGGGACTAGGAGATGATGGCTCAGCGAGTAGTGCTGTGTGCAAGCATGAGAATCGAGTTCAGATCCCCAGGGACCCATGTGGCTGGGTGTGGCAGCACAGGCTTAGAACCCCAGGGCTAGGGGAGAGCAGAGAAGGGTAGGGCCTGGGGCTCCTGGCCAGCCAGTCTAGCCAAAACTGCAAGCTACAGATTCAGTAAGTAATTTGTCTTTAAATAAATAAGTAAATAAGGAGAGACCTTAATATCAGGCTCTTATAATCCCATGCATGAACATTGTATACACACGCATGAATACACTCAAACACACACATGCACAAACGCTGGCAACATATTATAAAAAGGTAGAGACTATAAAACAGATCTGTTCCTAACATAGAGTTAAGTCTGATATAATTTTAGCAATGCAAAATATGAATTCATAGGAAACCTATGTTAGAAACAACGTTGTTGGGGCTAGAGACACGGGTCAGCGATCAAGAGCATTTGCTGATCTTGCAGAGAACCCAGGCTCCATTCCTAGCAGCCACATGGCTGCTCACATTCATCTCTAACTCCAGTTCCAGAGGAAACAACGCTTTCTTCTTGCCTCCATAGGCACCGTGCACACACACGGTGTACTTACATACATGCAGGCAAAGCACTCACACTCATAAAATAAATAAAAGAATACATTTTTATATAAATCTTAAAATAAACCAAGAAGTGGTGGTGCACAGCTTTACTCCCAGCACTCGGGTGGCAGAGGCAGGCGGATCTCTGTGAGTTCAAAGCCAGCCTGGTCTACAAGAGCTAGTTCCAGGACAGGTTCCAAAGCTGCAGAGAAACCCTGTCTAAAAAAAAAAAAAAAAAAAAACCTTAAAATAAAAGATACAAAGTTATTTTATTAAATCTATTAAAAGGATTCCATGCCTTTTTTTTTCACAATTAGAACAACCTCTATTCTCTCTTTTTCTTTTATACTATAAAAATACACATTTTAATCCCCCCCACACACGTGTTTAACCCACACACACATACCCTGAGGAAAATCCCAACCCATTGAAGTCAGCACCCAAGTTTCCCCAGGGACTCCAATGCAAGGAGGTGAAAAAGGGTCGTGAGCAGCATGCGTGCAAAAGAACGGCCCAGGCACCTGAAACTTAGTGGTAAGTGAGGCATGGAGCGTTCGCATGACTAACTCAGGGGAAAAACCCACCAGGGAAGGATTTCTATTTAAATGCCAAAAATGCAGAAGTACATTTACTTGAGCCTAACCTGGCTTTAAAAGGAAAAAACTGGGCCTCGGAGTTTTCCTGGGTGGAGCTGCGCCCATCTGTAAGGAAGAGTGAAGGCCAGGCTGCAGCAACTTTGCAGAACTCTGCTTGGAGAGGCCAGGCCTGGGTCAGGGGCTCCTTCCCTGAAGGGTTCTGAATTTATAACATTGATTCTTATTGCCTTTCATTTGCAATCTGTTTATCTAGAAGCAAGTTCTCAGAGTGGCTGTGTAACCAAAGGAAGCCTTGAACTCTGGAACCTCGGGTACCCATCTCTCCACCATGGACATGTGCCCCCACATCTGGGTTATGTGTTATGGTCATACATCCCTAGCCCAGGAGTGATTTGAGGCCTGCATTGTTTTTTCAGAGTCTTACTATGTAGCCCTGGTTGGCCTGGAATGTCTGTCTGCCTTCACCACCATAGTGCACAGCTATGTTCAGCCTGTATTTCTTCCTTGTAAGATTTATTTTTGATGCCGGGCGATGGTGGTGCACACCTTTAAGCCCAGCACTCGGGAGGCAGAGGCAGGTGGATCTCTGTGAGTTCGAGGCCAGCCTGGTCTACAGAGCAAGTTCCAGGACATCCAAGGCTGTTATACAGAGAAACCCTGTCTTGAAAGCAAACAAACGAAAAAGGAGATTTATTTTTATTTTTAACTTTGTGTGTCTGCACTGAGGCCAGAAAAGAGCGTTGAGTTTCCCGGAGCTGAGCTTACAGGCAATTGCAAGCCTCTTGAAACAGGTCCTCTGGAAGAGCAGTAAGTGTGCTTAATGTCTGAGCCGCTTGTTCTGAGCCTAGACCTACAAACTAAACTTACAAACTCCTTGGTAATCAGAAAAACTACTGGACTTCTTTCCAAAAATGTTGCACATCTGCCTAAGAAGTTGAAACAGTTCCCAATGTTTCATGAGCCACCCTGGGTCCTAAATATTCTACTTGAGTCAAGCCCCAGGTGAAGGACCCTGGTGTGCTTGAATTAAATACATCTTACAATGAATGTTATTTCCCAAGCCTGTTTACAGGGCGGTAATAAACAAATAGGAATTCATTGAAAAGAAATACTACGTTCAAAGACTAGTTACGTGTGTTCACCAGAGAGGCAGGATACTCCGACAGAGCTAGGAAAGGCGATTTCAGGGCCCGAGAGACAATGGGACTTTAAGGGGTTTGTTCTGACATAGAATCCTCCTTAACTCTGGGTGGCCTCAAATTCTCTATGTAGCAGAGCCTGGCCTTGATCACTTGTTTTGTTCGCCGAATGCTGTAGCCACTGGATAGTTAACCTGTCTCTGAGTTGTATTTTTGGATAGATTATGACTTAGTTTTCCAGAACTGGGTTGTCAGGGCATGATCAAACAATAGCCAGCAAAACCCAAGCCATAGGTGCAGCCCCTGGGTCACCGGGGGTGAGCCTGTGGAATGTCCTGCCCGTGAGTGCCCTCTGCTGGGAACGCTCCGTCCCACTATGGGACTGCGGCTGAGCACACACACCTCCGGGCCGGCTGCCGAGGAGTGGTGTAATAACCCAGCCTCAGCATCTGCTGGACCGCGCTCCTCAATTCTGTCCTTCGTGCCTTCCCTCCATCCTCTGAGGCCCTCTGCATCTCGCTGTGACTTTAGCCACCAAACCTTACTCTAGGCTCCCAAGGCTAGCTCCTTATACGACTCTCAGAGATATATATTCAACGTCATATATTGAAAGACATGTTTCTCCCCTCTGTGACGGACGAGTGTTTCAATTATAATTCCTCGACCGGAAAGGATGCAGTCAAGTTCGTGCAAAGAGAAAATAGGGGCCTGGGAAGTGGGAAGAGGGGCAACGCTCAGAGCCTAACTCCTCACAGCGACCCTGCAGCAGCGTCCAGAACCTCGTACCCTCGCTCTAGCAGGGACAGCGCACCCTGCAGCAGAGCAAAGCCGGTTTTACCTGGTGCTGGAGACTTAGCACCGGGGGCGCTCTAGACACGAGCAGAAAAAAAGCTTGTTAAAAGGTTAATTAGGGGCGGGGCCCTTGCCTAGCAAGCCTGAGGTTCCCAGGAACTCCGAGACGGACCAGGATGTGAGCCACGTGGTGGCTTTTGTCCCTTCTTCCCAGGACTACCGGCGCCCGCCAGCAGGGGGCGAGACGTTCCTTTTGAACTTGCTCAGGATCCGAGACTCTAGCCAAAAATAGAAGCTGAGATCAACCAAAAAGCACGAGACGGAGCAAATGTACACAAACTTGATCAGGCCCGTGTAAAGCAGTATTTCCAAATATGGCCGTAGGGAGGGTTAACTCTCGCAGGAATGCCCTAGAAAATGAAGACTTTGAGGGGAAAAAAAATGCTGAGTTCCTCATCATACATTAAATAAACTCCCAGGGATTAAAATGGTAAATATTTTAAAGACATATAGACACTCAATATCAAAAAGTGTAAAAGTTACATTTGTGGATAAATATTTGAATTCTCAATATAACAAAAAATTACAAGGGAATTCAAAACTATGAACACTGAACAGGACTTCTAAAAGACAGTAGTAATTGCTTGAGAGAAATGTCTCCATCAAAATTCAAGCAAAGATTATCTCAAATGAGTAACGATTTATATATAAAAATACCAGAGATGGTGGTGGAAGCCTGTAATCTAGCAGTTCCGGGACAGAGATAGAGTTTGCATTAAGGTTAGCCTGAGCTACACAGCAAGACCCTGTCTCAAAAACACTAACAAAATCCAGTAAGACAAATGGGTAGAACACACCTATAGTCCCAGCACCTGCGGGGTAGGGACAGGAGGATCAGAAGTTCAAAACTGTCTACCCTTACCCCCTCCCTTGTTTTTATTTTATGTGTGTTGGTATTTAGCCTGCCTGTGTGTGCACCATATGTGGGCATCATATGCATGCAGTGTTAGAGTCCCCTGAGACAGGAGCTACCAAGTGAGTGCTGGGGATCGAGCCAGGGTCCTGGGGAGGAGCAGCCAATGTTCTCAGCCATTGAACTGGCTCTCCAGCCCCTAACAATAATTTTTTAAATAGATTCTTGAGCTACATTAGCTGAAACTCTCTCCCATTCTGTGGATTGTGCGCTAGACTTTTTACTCTGACTTGTAAGGAATCTACATGTTCACTAGTAAAACAACAAACACAAAAAAAGGATGTGCAGGCTATAATATCAACACTCAGGAGGTGAGGCAGGAGAATAGCCCAGAGTTCAAGCCAGGACAGGTTACACAGTGAGTTCCAGGCTAACAAGAGCTATTGAGTGAGACCATCTCAAACAACAGCAAATACATCTATATATAACCAACTGCTAAATATGGAAGGCTAAATAGGAAGGGACATGGTTATTTTCCTTGATAATTAGAAATTTTCACTTCAAAATAATCCTGGCATAGTACTTTTGTGGAACAATGATCTTGTACCCTGTAACGAGTTTTCAGTTTTATTGCTTTAATAAAGCACTGATTGGCCAGTAGCCAGGCAGGAAGTGTAAGCAGGCGGGGTGACCAGGCAGAAAGTAGAGGTGGGGTGACCAGAACAGGAGAATTCTGAGAAGAGGAAAGAGCCAGTCTGCAGTCGTCAAAGGGGGAAGTCAGACACAGAGGAAGCAAGATGAGAACACCTCACTGATAAAAAACACCAATCCACATGGCTAACACAGACAAGAATTATGGGCTAATATAAGTTATTAGAGTTAATAAAAAGCCTGAGCTAATAGGCCAATCAGTTTATAATTAATGTAGACCTCTGTGTGTTTCTTTGGGGCTGAACAACTGTGGGACCAGAGAGGACAGAAATCTCTGTCAACAGTACTTTATAAATCTGCAACAGTGGCAAATTTTTTTGTGTGTGTATGATGCTAAAATAATCAAACCAAGGCCTTATGCAAGCTAAACAAGTGGGCTATCACTGAGATTTTCCTCTAGCTCTTGCTCATGTCATTAGTCCTTTACTATGTATCGTTTGTAATACACAATACAACACAAGAGCCTCGGGTGTGCCTGAGGTGTCTTGTGAACAAAGTCATGGAATGGCTAGGGTGCCCCTTAGCAAAAGAATCACTGTTTTCCGCAAGTCACAAGGACTCTTCAAGGTCAAAGTACTTCAAAAAAAAAAAAAAAAAAAAAAACAAGATTATTCATTCTAATGTCCACCCCACATAGTGATGTGTTAGATTCCTACAGCACAGAGTGGCCAGGCTAGGACATTGGAGTCCCGGGAACTGGAGTTACAGACAGCTACAAACCACCATGTGGATGCTGGAACTTGAACTCAGGTTCCTTGGAAAAGCAGCCAGTCCTCTTAACGGCTTAGCTTATTTGGAAGGTGGAAGCAGGAAAATCAGGGGTTTAAGATCAGGCTCAGCTACACTATGGGTTCCCAGCCATCCATGCTGAGATGGGGAGATGCTTGAGAGTCTGGTGCAGGTTTTCAGCAAGGCTAGCAAACAAAACAAAGTAGAAAAAACACACAAACAAAAAACCTGCTACCACGTAGCTGTGCTGATTAGAGTGGCCTGGGATTGCGTGACTGTGGAGCATTTTCTTTGTTTTAAACAGGGTTTCTGAGCCGGGCAGTGGTGGTGCATGCTTTTAATCCTAGCACTTGGGAGGCAGAGGCAGGCGGATCTCTGTGAGTTCGAGACCAGCCTGTGAGTTCGAGACCAGCCTGGTCTACAAGAGCTAGTTCCAGGACAGGCTCCAAAACCACAGAGAAACCCTGTCTCAAAAAAAAAAAAAAAAAAAAAAAAAAACAGGGTTTCTGAAGCTGGAGAGATGGCTCAGAGGTTAAGAGCACAGCCTGCTCTTCCAAAGGTCCTGAGTTCAATTCCCAGCAACCACATGGTGGCTCACAACCATCTGTAATGGAGTCTGGTGCCCTCTTCTGGCCTGCAGACATACACACAGACAGAATATTGTATACATAATAAATAAATATTTAAAAAAAGAAACAGGGTTTCTGTTGTAGTTTATTTAAAACACTGTGAAGTCATGTTGTGCAACAGGGCTCACATAAGAGGTTTATTTGAAGAGGAGAGAGAAGGGGCAGAGACTGGTCCCTGGGGAAAGGAGTGGCAGAAGAGAGAGAAAGGGAGGGAGAGCAAGAGGGATCTGGAGGGAGTGGGAGAGACAGGAAGTGGACAAGACCCATCTTTTAAAAGGGAACAAACATAGGGGGTGCTCTTAGTGGCTGCAGCTGAGGACGTATCCTGTCAGGACCCCAAGGACAGGTCAGTACAGATGTCTGAATACTAACAGTTTCACTAAGTAGCCCTGGCTGGCCTGGAACTCACTATATAGACCAGACCTAGCATTCACAGGGTCCACTGTCTGTATTGAAGGGCTAAGAGGAAACCCAGAACAGCGAAGGAAACTTGCTAGTAGAATCTGGTTAGTCAGCGTAGAGGGTTCATTCAGATAAGATGAGACTTGAGCTAAAAGATGGAGGAACCAAGCAAGAGGTCTACTCCAACCTGAGGGAAGAGTGTTTCAGGTAGAAGGAACAGAAAGTATAATAATATCCCTAAGGCAAGAGTGTGTGACCAGAAGAAAACCCACTGATTCTGTCTGGACTGTGCATAATATTTTGAAGAACAATGATAAATTCATTAGGCTGAGGTATTAAAGTCAAATATGTTGTATCTGAATTACATAATATAAACAACCTCAGAGGGAGGTGACGTTGCAAAAATATCGCTTCAGCCAATCCTCTTCCAAAGGGTAGTCAGCTGGACACAAAGTATTAAGGCTTTACTTTTAATATGCACAATCCTTTTCTACATAGGAATTAAAATGCTCACACAGTTCAGGGAAAGAAAGGGTCATTAAAGCAAAAGAAAAGAGTTTTGAGTGAGTTTAATTATTTATATATATATATATATATATGTTTGTATAGGTGCATGTGAATGTAATGCCCAAAGAGGTCAGAAGAGGGCGTCTTATATCCTGATCTGGAGTTAGAAGCGTTCTGAGCTGCCCAGCATAAGTGCTAGGAACCAAACTCTGTTCCTCTGAAAGAGCAGTACATGCTCCAAAGGGCCAGATCATCTGTCTCCAGTCTCTGGTTTTGTGGATTTAAATGCCACAGGTACTCTACCAATCTTCAAATAAAATCCTTGATCCACTCTGTTCTGAACTCCACACTCAGACCCAAGATCCATCTGTTGCTTGACTTCTGTGTAGATACCTAATATCCACTTACATTTGAACAGCTAAGGGCCAGTGAGATGGCGGCTCATATGTCAAACCCAACAACCCTAGTCCAATCCCCAGGACCTACATGACAAAATGAGAAAACTGTCTCCAGCAATTTGTCCTCTGACCTCTGCACACACGCCATGATACACATATACTCACTCCTCTCTACTTCCCCCACAAAACAAATAAATACATGGGATGAATTTTAAACATTTGAATGTCTAAATTAACTGACCACTGTTCTCCATTTACTCTTCTTAAACACATACACAGACATACACACAGACACATTACATATATGGAAACCGTGTGTAATAAATAAATTTGTTATTTTTTTTTTTTAAAACAGGGCTTCTCTGTGTAGTTTTGGCTGTACTAGAACTCACACTGTAGACCAGGCTACCCTTGAACTCACAGAGATCTGCCTG